GATAAAATGGAACCCACCTTGGTTGACCTGACAATAGTTTATAGCAGACATCTTTTTGTTTTAGGAACTCACAAGCCCAAAACATTTGGCGCCAGAGTAACAGAGAGGAGAATTAAGTCCAGCACTGTTAAAGAACATGTTGCTGGTCTGACTACAGAGGCTTACCAGTGACCCGACTTTACGGCTCATCTGGAACACATTTAACACACAAACACACAGTATTTATGCGGAGCTGACAGCTGACAGAGGGGTACCTGCCTGAGTGAAATATAACTTTCAGTGTATCCAGTGTGCACCCCTCAAAAGAAACCCCAACTGGAATGCTTTAGATTTGGATTCTTTCCATGTGTGATTTTCCATATGCTGAGTCTCATCTCTCTGCGGAGAGGCAGACAGGAACAAAGGGTTAAGGGTCTCAGGCTAAGTGGTGAGATTTAACTTTTGCTGCTCTGTTTTGTTTTATGACTTGAAGGGAGCAGACTGGGTCTGCTGAGGTGGTTTTTTTCTGCTTCCCTGGTCAGCTTTGAAGGTGAGGGCCCCTCTCTCCCCAGGGTCATAACTCCACAAATGAATGTCTGGTGGTGGGGAGCGAGGGGGGCCTCAGCACACACAAAAAGGTTTCAGGGAAACTAGCGTGTTACTACTTAACCAGCTTTTAAACCATCTAGTTTATAATGGTCAAAAAGAAATTCAAATTCTGAAGTGAAACACACAAATAGAGGCACTATATGGAAATAAGAAGTGTTGCATTATTAACATGAACTCGTTTCATGTTTTATTTTTGCAGTACAGATGCTAAAAGATATTTCAATTTTCTGTTTAAGGATAGGTTTAGTATGTGTGTGTTTGTGTGAGTGTGTGTGTCAGATGAGGGATATGCAGGAACACAGCAGGAGTCCCTGAAACATTTTCCAATGAAGCTCAGTCAGCAGTGAAAAATGGCTGGGTGTAACTTGGAAAAAACACTGATTGTCACCCCAATCGTGAACTGAAATGGCCTGGCAACAAAGTGGAAAATGAGCTGTTATGTGGGACAGGCAGCACTCATCCCCGAGTCTTGTGATGGCTTGCATTATTGTGCAGAACAAGAGCAGCGGAATGGAAGCTGCAAAACATAACCTACATATTTTTACAATCTTACCAAGTATGCAGTTTCCATACATTACAAATATATATTATATATAGGAAATATTAAAATACTAATCAAGCAAAACATTTAAAAAATAATGGTTTTGTATAGATTTAAATGATATAGTGGCAGCTGTCTTGTTTCCAGATGTATAAAAACTGTGTATAACTTATAATTAACTGATGAAAGCAAAATGCAGTGTTCTCAGTGCATTGAAATGCTGCACTCGGTGTCCAGCTTGTGGCTATAGCCTTTCCTCTTTCTTTAGATGGATGACACCCTGTGGCCATACTTGGTGACTGCATAGCTTTTTTTTAGAGCTGCATCAGACTGAAGCACAGTGAGTGGAACACAGCTGAACTCTTATTTTGATGTTGGAGAGCCTTAATGGAAAACAGAAAGCCTCCGACTATATTGTTAAAGAAATGCCAGTCCTACTTGAAGAACTGACGATGTGTTTATCATTCTGATATTGAAATGAACAACGCTTTAATTGAATGTTTAGTGCTGGATTCTTTAGATGTTATAATAAAGTTCTATGTGATGAGCTTTTAATGTTCAAAGGAAATTTGCCATGTCTCTGGCCCACGATGGCAGTTAGAGGAAACTGTTTTAAATATTTAGATGTTAAAGCCTGTGCACAATTATTCTCCACTTATACAAGTGTTTTCACTTACGCACCTCTTTGGGCCTTTTCTGGGGACAATTTAGGAATGTAGAAGTGCTCCATAAAAATCTGCACACTCCCTGCTCTTGGTTTCGTTGCACCTGTCAAATTCACAATTTCTCCTCACCTATAAAATCATGAGTAGTTGGGCCTCGTCATATCTTAATGACATTTTGGTTTTGTACCAGTATGGACCCAGCGGATGTCTGCGAGGATTTTTTTGAGTTCAGCGCACGTGTGACCATCCTCCAGGGACAATGGAACATCTATTCTGTATGCAGACAGGAGAGTGAGGCGGAGTCAGTTAAAGTTCGGCTTCACCAGATCCTGTCTGCTTACCCTGTCTACACGGCAGAATTGTCGGAGGATGTGCAGGATTTCGTTCGCACTGTGTTTTCACTACAACAACATCAGGACTGCGAACAGGAATCGCTGCCGCTGCCTTGCGTGCCTGAGACAGTTCGTGTCGGCTCGCTGAGACTCGCTGCAGCGTCCCCACCTCACAGCTCACCAGTTTCCACGCCCTCGACACAGTCTCGCCATGCTCTTGTCACAGTTCAGCGCGAGGAAGCGCTGGACACCATTGATTTAGATCACGACGAGCGTCAGTCGATATACTGCGCTCTATTGGAGGAAGAGCTTAATGCTCATTGTTAGCATGTTATACTTCGTTATGCTGCAGTAAGCTTAGATTTCTGTGGCTTCCCATCATGCTAAGCCTTTCTTCTTTCACTCTTCATATGTTTATACATCACTATTGTTCAATCTCCCCCCACCCCCAGTCAGTAGCTGCAGATGGCCGCTCCTCCCTCAGCCTGGTTCTGCTGGAGGGTTCTTCCTGTTAAAAATCAGTTTTTCCTTCCCACTGTCACAAAGTGCTTGCTCTAGGGAGTAGTCTGATTCTTGAGTATTCTAATATTATAGGGTCTTTATTTTATAATATAAATCTCCTTGATGAGTCTTGTTGTAAATGTATGTTATGTGAATAAAACTGGATTGAATTGCAGACATTAGATTAGGAAAACTTCATCCGGTTATACGCTGTTTATAGTTTTATACACTGTTTATAGTTTACAGTCTGAAATGTACACACGGTGGATCAAACAGCAAGTTTGAGAGGTTGTAACTTGGAACAAGCTTCTAGTCACTACAATCACTTCAGCCTGGCACTTTCCTGCTATCTGTTCTGCTTCTATTCTTTAAAATGGTAATAAATGCAAATTGAGAGTTACACTATTATATCAAAATTAAGTCAAAATGAACTCGACATGAAACAAGAGAGGCAGGATCTACTACTCTACTACTAACTTATTATTCTCATTAACACACAGTTTGAAGAAACTGTCATTTCACCTTAAACTAACCGGGCACATAAACACAATTTGACTGAAACAATTTGAAACTGTCTTTTTCCTGTTTACTGTCCTTTGCTACAGTCTCCAACATACACTGCACTTGCTATCTTTTCCAGCCATGGTTGATAGTATAAAAAATAGCAAACACATGATCAAATCCAAAGATCTAACAGAGAAACAATGTATCATAAAAAAGAACTTATAAAAACATCTTTATTACAATTTGTAGAACATTTTAGGCTTTTACGAGGGGTTGACCTGCCAGATTTGACATGGCTGTCTAGAATGGTGCCGTAGAGGAGTAATGTATAACTGTACCAGAAGATGGAGACACAGACTGTTATCTGAAACCTTTACAGCCAGTGGAGGCGTGTGGACAGAGCCTTTATTATCACTCTGCTGAGAACCATCAAGACGGCCTTGGGGAAAAATTTATGAAGGAGATCAGAGCAGGAGAGCAGATGTTTGTATGATTTTAGAACAGGTGGTGGTGGTATCAGTTGGACTTTGCACTGTTAAACAGCTGACGCACTGTATGAGCCTTGGGGAGGATCTGATCTTGTCTCCAACTGTCTGTTGTGTGAAGAAAACAGCAGCTAAAAGCAATAAAATCAAGACCAATGACCAACTAAGGTGGAAATCAAGTCAAATACAAGACTAAAGTCACCTTTGTGTACAAGCATGTGACACTGCAAGCATTTTAGTTAGGCGGACACATTGTGGCATATTTTATTAAAAGCGATAGACAAGCAAACGTTTTCAAAGTACAACAGTGAATTATCTCAGAATAATACAAGTCCTAAATGACTGTAATTGCAACCTCCTGCTAGATAAACCACTTGTACATCATTATGTTTTACTTCTGCATGTCAGAAAATGAAATGTAGATAACCAGCCAATTAGAGAGTTATGATAAACAATAAGGAGGCTGAAGGGGACTTACTGAGAAAGCGACAGAATCTTTAACTTTGAAATCCCAGCAATCCTCATATCAGCAGTGATGCTTTACACACAGTACTATTCACATCAGTCTGCATATTTCCTGTGTAACAGACGTGTATTTTCAATATTTTGACATATATTAGGTTTTCATGGGAATCACGTTTCCTCCATTTAGAGTGGATGGCCATCTCATGCGTGAAGCAAATTAATAACACTGAAACAGGTGTTGCAGTACCAATTTCAGAGCTCATTGATGCATAATAACACTGACAGTAAGACGCACTAGTGGAAAATCTTATAAAAGCTCATGGAACACGAGTTTTAGAACGACCAGGGATTAATCATTGATATAAATAGGTGAAAACGGGTTAGCAAAACAAATAATGTCATTATATCAGACTCGACATCTATACTTACCTTTCAAATTAATGTCTGATATGATGCAGTGGGTAGCAGCTGTGTGGTATATGAAAAAGTAAATTACCTTTTTAGACATCTGAAATACATTTATTACATTAAAAACAACATTTTCTGTAGAGTTCATCCCTGCAGGATTTGCACAGCTGTTTGGGTGGCATGTAACACGATCTATAGCCACGTGTTATTTGCACTGAAAACACTCACAATATGTATTTTTGCATTTATAAAGAATCTGGAAATTCACAACATGCTGTATGAAGGAGGTTTGGGCTACAATAAATGATGACGTCTTATTGGCTTATCTTTGAAATGAGAGATTGCAGCTCTGATGGTGCTCATGAAAGTACAAACTAAAAGTCAGCAGCTCAGTCACTTTGTACCGACTATTATGAATTCAAATATATTTTTCATTTTCTTAATTAACCCCACTTCCTAATTAGATCAACTCATGAGAAAGAAGTAAATAGAAAGAGGCCACGCAATGACATATTTTTAACAACATGCTATGTGAGAGAACATGTTTCACATAATTATACATTTTAATGGTAATTTTGGATAAAAATACATTTACAAACCAGCGTCATGTATATCCATTTGGTCCAGCAGACTTTACATTCAAACATGTACCGGGATAGCCCACCAGCTCTCGGTTATACACACTTTAAACACAACTGCACGACAGTCATAGCTTTTTAATCGCTGCTATTTTTACACATTCACATTCGACTTCTTCCAGGGGGAGTGTGGGTGAGGACGAGATGATATTATCAGATGGAGGTGTAGTGCCTCCCAAAGCTGGTGAGTCTAATCTTCTCTGGCAGGATGATGTTTACCGAGTGTTCCGCCTCTTCCTGGCTTGTGCTGCCAGCTTCTCTCAGCAGGTGCTCCCTTTGCTGCCGGACAAGCTGGCTGTACTTGGCATTCGCCAGCCAGGTCTCACAGCGGCCAAAAAACACAATGCCTGTAGTGCCCAAGATGACCAGGCAGGTGAGCAGTGCTAGCAAGCTGAAGCAGACAAGCTGACCATGCGTAACGAGGACACCGGACGAGTGAACCGTCTCCTTCAGGGTGATCTTGAGCAGATCTCTCTCAGGTGGTCTCAGCAATTTGTGGAAGGCATGAGCGGGGAGGGAGTAGTGCTGTGGAGTCAGAGCAAACACTCTGTCCACAGGCTTGGCAGCAACCGGCTTGGATCTGTTTCTTGGTCTGTGCAGCAGGGAGCATGTGGGACCTGTAAACCATTTCTGGCAAATGCACCGGAAGGTTCCATCAGGTTGACCGACACAGGTGCCCTCGTTGGCACAGGGCCGCCCGGCGCAGGGAGAGAGGCTGGTGGTGTCATTACAAGTGAAACCAGTGAAGCCGTGTGGACAGACACATGTGAAAGTCAGGCCATGGTTTGTACAGTTGCCACCGTTGAGGCAAGGGTTAGGCTGGCAGCTGTCAATGCCGATCTCACAGAAGTCTCCGGAAAATCCAGGGGGACATAAGCAGGAAGAAAAGGCTGCTGAGCCCTCGGCATCCATACATGTGCCTCCGTTCTGGCAAGGAGAGCTAGAGGACAGGACATAAGAGACATAAAGGAAAACAGAGTGTCCTGTGATTTACATAAATTTAGAGTAGTACAGTGCATGCTTTAGCCTGTGGTTATAAAACAGCAATAAGCAGGGGGAAATTGGTTTAATCATACGTGTCGATTTCAAGATGTTAATGGCAAATTTACAGGAATAATAAAGGAATCAATATTCCTCAACAGGGGAGAAAATTCCTCTAATCTTAAAGCTACAAAAAAATCTCACTGAATTACCAGAAATATGAGTTTTCACAAAGCTGGAATAAACATTTATTGTACACACATGGTTGTCCTTTCATTTAAGGATTTGATGCATTTGATGTTACATAAAATGTAAAAGTTCAAGGAAAGTGTAATTAACAACGAGCAAAATTAGTGTTGTTGTTAAACGCAACAGCTCCTTCCGACAAACATGAAATTCAAAGTAAGGAAAATGCTGTTGCCTGCTGTGTGCGCTTTATGTGTTAACTACATTTCTAAATAACAATACAGATCCTTATCAAACATTTTATTGCTTCCGTCCTGCTCTGTCGTGCACAATTGCACAACAATTGCCTGACCTCAGTTTGTGCAGGATGAAAATGATAGAGTTGATCACAGCATTTCCAGATATGCACATTTCTGTGGATTTAAGACAAGTATGGCAGATAAATACCGAGGTAATAAACTAGTAGTCAAGCTAATTACTTTCTAGAGAGTAGGAAAGTTTTATAACTTGTTTTTGAAGAAGTGAGAAATGTATAATACATTAATTTTTTTGAGCAATGACTCTAACACTGTGATGAATATGAACTGCTACTAGCAATTATTTATTTATTAATCTGGGGGTTACACTCATGATTATTTTCTTGTTCTTCAGGAAAATAAAAGGGCAAAGATGAGGCTGTATTGATAAATACCCAATACACCTTTTGAAACTGCTTATTTTGACCAAGTTCCTGTCTTTTTACAAAAACACACAGTTTATTAAACAATTTAGACAAAAAAAAAGCATCAGACCTTCACAAACAAAAGGCTGAAACTGAGACACAACTGCAAAATTACTGAATCAATCGAAGTCAAAACTTGTAATTGCTACTGCACGTAATGCTTATTAATACTGTGATATTGATTTCGGTCATTTCTCTCAGCACTAATGGCTTATTTTGTGCAAATTAAAAATCTGTACGAGTATCATGATGACGCCTCAGCGCTGCATCTGCTAATCGTCTCGCAGCCGTATAAGCAGCAGATCTGATCGATGTAACCATGCTTCACAAAGTGCATGATGAGAACCTGGGATAAAAAGTAATCAATATCTGTAGGAGTATTTCATGTAATTACACAAGTCTCTAACACTGTGCCTCAGTGAGTCAAAAGAATAATAGCGCCATCCTTTTTTAGAAGCCTCTGGTGCCTCGCAGAGGAGCTGATTAATGAAACCTCGTGCAGGGTTTCTAATTGAGATTAATTCCCCCAGAATACAAGTCAAGGTTCAGTTGTCTCACTGTTGGGATTAAATGATTATTTTTTTAACCAGAAACAAAGCCAAAAAAATAATCCTGGATATAGCATTATTAACCACTGAGAGAAGTCCAAGCAATGCACTTAGCTGTATGACATAAGATGTGGAGATGGATTTGCTGCTGAGGGCAGCACAGTGATGCCTCCTAACCTGCGAGGAGCTTATCCAAGGCTGGATTGGATAAGCGATTAAGAAAATGAATGGATGGGTAATTATTTTTGAAAATAAGAGGAGAGCTGACAATTCTCTATCGATGTTATGTAAGCTATTGAATTTTAGGTGTATTTCAAGTCAACAACAAGGCTGCCTGACAGAGGGAAATACATGCTGTGGTTCAGAGTGTGGAGGGCTGTGTCAGACAACTGAATCCCCAGAGAGTCTTTTATATTCATTTGACAGGCAGGAGGAAGATTCCTTCAGGGACCAATTCTGTCTGCAACCCATCTGTGTGCAGGCACGGGATGCAAGGCTGTTTTTGTTGTGATATTATCTCAAATGTCCAGGCAGGGTTTGTGTTTAAAAGCATCACCTACCATTGAACGGATGACCAGATTAATACTCAAATGTTGCTCATAAGCCAGTAAAAGTGGAACGTTTTTAGGAATGTGACTGTAACAGCTTAAGTAGTGGTAAAAGCAAATAGATGTGATTAACCTGAGAAACTTATCTCTAAGTTCAAATATAAGTTCTGTGTTAACATGGCAGGGCTCTTTGCAGCATATTTTCCAATCAGAAGTTGAATCTTATATATCGATAATATTGGATATTACATTAAAAATGACACAACTCTGATTTTGAGTCGGTTTACAACAGTTACTATTTTTTGCAGGTAATGAGGCCCCCGACAGACATGAGTAGATGCTCTAAAATTTTCCTGGCGATGCTCTCCCAGGGCTTCGGTACAGCCAGCTGTCATGAAAGCAATCGCGGATTTCATCATTATGCAAATGATTTCCAGCCTGTGCATTTTCGTGCACACCTGTTGTTATCCAACTGATTTTGGAGAACCACTGATATCTCTATGATAGAAGCCTGCTTTGTTGCTGTCATCTTTTTGACCCCCACCTCTTCCCCTCTTTGTTGACATTCAACTCCACCTAAATCTAAAAGTCAACTCGCAATCAGCTGGGAGCCACGCGTGAGCTCTGTTGTGCTTGGACTAACACTGAGACAACACACACTCACAGACAGTGAAATAAATCCATTGAAATGAAAGCTCAGACTTAAGAGATTAATGAATCAGATCAGTTGTTTTATTTTAAATTTAAGGTGCTGAAGAGCGCACAACAAAGCATCAACATGTAACTGTCCAAATATTTAGGCCTTTGGAACAATCATATCAACGAGTGATGACCCTTGTGCTACGGTAATATGATATTTCTGAACGATCTGCCAAAGGCCTTGAAATTCATCTTTGATACAGACGGATGTTAAGTGCGCATCAGTTGTGTTCTCCAGCTGCCAAAGGACGAGCGGATTACTGGTCACATTCTGAGTGATGGAGTATCCGAAATGTGACAAGCAATTATGGTGTATTTGATCTTGAAAATTTGACTTTAAAGGATGAAGCCTCTGAAGTGGGATGCAGCTTATGATGCTGCCCTGGTACACACAGTCAGCTACTATAGGGAGGAGCACAATAAACATAGCTGCAGGGCTACAAATTTACTGAAATTCTTTCTTTATACAACCGAGCTGTCTTGGATTTGACATGAAGGGGAATTGTTTGCCCAAAGCAAACAATTTGTGTTTGTTTTGGCTAAGTGAGCCTCATCATCTTACACATTGCAGTGTTTTACAATTGCTGGTTGAAAGTAAAGCATGATTCCATCATGCAAAAAAACAACAAAGATCAAATAAGTACAATGCATGGTATGAATGTGACACTGGGGTATTTGGCTGCAATTTACTTCATGGCTGACCGTGTTAGCGACCAACAGTTTAAAGTTAGTGGAGAAGGACATTTGATACAGAATATGGGCATAGCATCTAGATCTTAAACTTAAGCCAACACAATATGCATTATCTCTACTCTTCAAGAGGGCCAGTTGCTCTGATTGGAAGAAGTGCTCTGATTGCATATAAGTCAAGGACTGACTTTATTCATGGCCCTGAGTAAATACTTTTCTTATGGATTCATAGTGTTAATCAATATTTTCAAGTGTTATTTAGTCCAGCATAAACTTTAAGTTGTACATTATGTTCCCATTTAAAGTGGAACTGATGATAAATCAGTGCAAGCTTTAGTCTGTGGCTCTCTTTTGATTGGCAAGTCATTTAATGTATGAGTGTGCAGTTTGTTCCACCTCTTGCATCACATCTGGTTTAAAAAAAACAAGCTGGCAATAGCCGAAAGCTAAAGGCAAGGCTTCAAAAAGGTTATGATGATCTATTATATACAGCCAGTGTTTGCAAATAAGCCACTTTTTGTCACGGTTCCTGGGTTTTGGACCAGGGCTTTTAAGTTTGGGGATTTTTAGGTTTCTCTATTTTTCCTTTCTGTTTTCCCAGTCATGTCCCCGTGTCTCTCTGGTCCCTCAGTGTTTTGTCTCCATTGTTGTCTGGTTTCCCTGTTTGTTCTGGCAAGTTAGTCCCGGTCTCTCTGTTTCTCACTTCCTGTTTTATCTCGACAGTCCTTCATCTCACCCGCGTCATGTTTTGCATCCCCCGTCTCGTCAGTTAGATTCTATTCAGCTGTGTTCCCCCAGGTGTTTCCACTCACTGCCTCCCTCATGGTGTGTGACTCGTTGTCTGCCTGTGTAGCCTCAAGTCAGTTTATTCCTGCTTAGCTCAGTTTGTGTTTTTTGTTTCTTTTGCCCTTTTGTCAGCGTTAAAATGAAGCTGTGATTTTGAGTTACGACAATCTGCTGAGTCCTGCATCTAGAGCCACACTCTGTTCACTGCAAACCCGTTCCCATGACACTTCTGACAGATATAAAAATACTGGCGGCCGCCGGTGCTTCCCCTCAGGCTCCTATACTAGATGCACTTGTGGTACGAATTTGAAAATCCTACGTCGCCTCGTTCTAGAGTTGACATGTTCACCTACCCAGCCAGTGTTGTGATAATAATATCCCATCACCCTTTTACAGCCGAGGAGGTAAAAGGTGTGACTGTTATGTTATGTTTACGATTTGTTGCTCTATTGTATAGTATTGTACATTGTATAGTATAGTCTGAGGGCTGATATACCTACCTACACGCATACTAAATAGCAATAGAGCAATTAGGAAAAAATAACCATAAAATATTTGAGGGAACATAGGGGATAAGACTGAAAATAAGTATTCCCCTGCTTATGAACTCAAATAAAAGTTTTTTGTACCCATTTGTAAGACAAAGTCCTCTCCTCCGGTGGCAGTTTTCTCCAGAGAAGCCAGGGGGGCAGACACACAGGTATCGTCCCTCTCCGGTCTCTATGCAAGTGGCATTAATAGCACAAGGCCTGGATGAACACAAGCGAATATCTGTGGTAAAAAGAGAAAGGAAAAAAAAAATACTAATAAGTATGCTGTTTTTAGATCTTGTAGGTTCTCTCTCTCTCCCTGTGTCTCTGTGGCTGATTTTTCCTCTCGTCTTTGTTTCCACTCTCACACTACACTCCCCACCACAGCATCTTGTCACCAAGAACAAAACTGAGAACATAACCAACTGCGTTACACAGGCAAGTGGCTCATATGCTCCAACAGAATAAAAGATGCACTATGCGTGCTGATAAAGAGGTCACACTGAGCTGGAAGCCAGAAAAAAATCTCTCTTCTTCTTCCTTTGTTTCTTCCTTTGTTTCTTCCTTTGTTTCTTCCTTTGCTCCAGGGTCTCCAAGTCCTTTTGTGTGATAATGGCCACTATAGATACTATGATTATAATCAAAATCCTTAAACTAAAATAGGGCATCTAATTAAATGTTAATGTGACTTTAACAATAACATTTTCATCGGGGTATTTTCATAAATTAATAACGCATGCGTTATTCAATGGCACAAGGGAAGGTAGTTTATCATGAGGATGTTGGCAGTTTTATTAGGGGTTTCAGCTTTCTTTGTTGTTGGCAGATTTCCATAGTCAGATTATTTATGCTCCGACTATGCCCTTGGGAAAAATACAGTTAACTATATTATAGAGACCAGCCTGATCTCTCTGGACCCATGTATCTCTAGAGCTCTGTGACTCACCCTGACCTCTTGTATATCAGTATTGGGGCAGATTGAGATAGGAGTGCCTGGGGAGCCTAATGACACTTACCTTGGTCACAAAGGCTGCCCACCCAGCCCTCCTCACAGATACACTGCCATGCCTTCTCACATGTGCCGTGCAGACAGCCAGGGAAGGGTACACAGTGGTCACAGTTGTCTCCTTGCCACCCTGGTTTGCACCTGAATGAGGTTAAATAAAGGCATTAAATCTGAACTATTAATACACCACCCAATGAGCTTCGCAGTCCTGCTCTTGGTCCGATATTATCTGCATGTTTTTACAATTAAAGTGACATCAAATGCTGCGATTTACGATTGCTGTAATTGGTTAATCTTTCTAAATACCCACAGCAGCAGGGTACAGTCATTTTGGCTAAAGAGTAGATTCAGAAGGTTTTGCCAGAAACAAAAACATGAGGAAACCTTTTAAATTATCTGTCAGGATAACAATGCTTTTTACTGTTTAAACAAAGAACAGACTTGGCAGCTGACTTACACATAATGCAAGCGCCAAAAACAGAGATTCACTTGGCTGAATTGTTATTGTATTTCTCCAAAAGCCATTTGCTTCTCCTGAGGTAAAATAGAATCTACACAGAAATCTGAGGTCGTTCAGTACCTGCACTTCCCGGGCTTCTCACAAAACCCATTTTCTGTGCTGCACCCTGTGCTGCATTCCCAACCTTTGAGAAAGGAAGACATCAGCATGTTGGCATCACAAAATAAAAAACACACACGAAAGATTCACAACAATAAAATATTAAATCCCTGGTCTTCTATTTCCACGCAGGGAGAAAAGGAGTTGGGGTTGTTTCTTTTTTTCTTTTTTTATGAACTGACTCAAATCTCTTTGTGTCGCTGTCAGCTGCCTCGGCTGATCGAAATCTAAGATTACCTTTGACGATGTTTGTCACGGAGAGAATTAAGACCACAGCTGTGAGATGCATCGTAATTTCGAGGAAGACCCCTTTTGTCCTGCAAAATACAAAGCAGCTGATATAAAGAGCTCTCGCTTCGTGGAGAAGCGACATCTTCCATCTAGAAAAAGGACACTAGTTAAAAGTTGATTTTTGAAAAAAGAAAACCACGTTAAGATTCGTTCACAATTAAGAGGATCCTACACAAAAAGATCTACATAGCGCTTTTAGATTTTTAGTTTAAAAAATATATCTGTACGAGATTTTTTTTTAAATACACTGAGCTTGACTTTAAATATAAATATAAATGCATATGCATATATATATTTGGGGGTGATTTACTGTTTTCCTGTTTATTTTTGGAAACTGACGCACCTGAACCGTATGCGTCTTCTCCCAAAGGTATCCATTACGCACGACCACGCAGAAAATGAGAAAAGACATTCATTTAAACACAATCTTCATCTTTTTTTTTAATAAAAAGCAAAAACCTCTGACTTAAATGAACTGCCTTACCTATGTCGCCCAGTCGTTCTGCTCCCAAGTGACTTCGACCATATTTCACAGGTTTGCTTTTTTCTGCTTTCTTTCCTTTAATCCAAGCAACGTGCTAATGAAAGTGATACCACAGGTGTACTCGTGGTCTGGCTGCTGAAGGTGGACCTGACGGTTTTGACGGGACTGCTGCATCGTGAAGCGTCCCAGTGCTGCATGCTCCTCCCACCTTCTGAGGGAGAATGCGTGCACCAATCTGACCCCGTGGGAGAGAAGTGCAATAGTTGTACAGTAGTCACATTAGCTGGCTGGCTGACTTTAGTTTGCAAATGTCTAACTTTATGTCAAGCGATGAATGAGGTCTCTGTGATTCATTTAAAACAAAGGAAGAAAACAAGAAAGAAAACAAACGAACGTATGTCTACGGATATCTTGTTTGTTTTTCACGCAATAATAAATTATTCAAAGGTGATGGAGACACATGATTCTTGTACACATGATTCTTCATCTTTATTTTTGGAAATTGGACACACCTGAAGTATATACGTCTTCTCTCAAAGGTATCCATTACGCACGAGCCCCACAGACAGGGAGAAACAGTTAAGGCTTAGGTACATAACTAGGCCGTGTATTTGAAATATTAAAAGTAAGGGTATATCTGAAATGTCCAATTTTGGCGTTAATTATTAATTTTATTATAGTAGACTTATTTAATATTAATACTCGTGTTAACCACAGATTTATTTTGCTAAATATAATAAAGCATTTATTGCAAGAGCTTTTATACAGAACT